TTACTGCCCCGAAATGCAGAGGCGGGTCTGCACTGCCACCGCGGTATCTGTGCTGTCCCCACAGGCACCTGCCAGAGATGCTTGGAAAGTTCCAGCAGCTGGGAGGAGGCCAGTGTGGCTTCACCAGCAGACAGTGCCCAAACCCGAGATTCCCAGGCTCCCTCGAGCCTGACTTGAACCCCGGACGGCCACTTGCCAGCTGAGTGATGAGCGAGGACAACCTCCCCTTGCCTCAGTTTCCCCCGTGTAGAATGGGGCCGGTGATAGTGCCCGTCTCCTAGAAGATTAGGAGGATTACAGGGCCCACGTCACCCTAAAAGGCTCAGAACCAGACCCACCGTGGCGGCAGAGATCTCTAACGTCTGGCTGTCGCTCACGGGAGACGGGGGAGGAATTCGCCTCAGCTCGCGCGCCCATGGCATCTGAAAGAGAAGGGAGGGCAGGGGGGAGGGCTTGCTGGCATCGCAGGAAGGGGAGGGGGCCGGGACAGCCAGAGCGGGACTCCCAGCCCCCGCCCCGACCTCACCCTGTCCCCCTGCAGCACATGCGCGAGGCCGCGGAACGCCGGCAGCAGCTGGAGCTGGAGCATGAGCAGGCCCTGGCCGTTCTCCACGCCAAACAGCAGGAGATCGACCTGCTGCAGAAGGTGAGTGGAGGGCACGCCCGGGGCGGGGGGCTCAGGGGGCACGGGGCGGGGGGGACTGCCCACCCGAGTCTCCCTCCCAGGCCGGCAGAGAGCGGCTCCCCTCCTTCCCGCTGCGGGGATGTCTCGGGCATCTGTACTCCCGAGTGACCCAGGTTCCCGTGCTTGCCCGCGAACACGCGATGCTGGCGGGCTCGTGGGGAAAAGCACGCTCCCGTGGCGGCTGCGGGTGTGAGTGGTTTCAGCCTTGGGCACGAGCAGCCTGCCAGCGGCGGTGATCTTGACCCTGCGACCTTCCACTCAGGCAGAACGCCCTGTTCGAGTCCGTTTGTTTTTTCCGCACTGCTGTGTGGGCTGGGGGTGGGGAACCCCCCTCCGAGGGCGGGGGTTTGCACTGTGGTACACCCGGACCGCGGACCAGGACGGCGTCATCTTGAAAGGAGTAATTCAGGTTTACATCCGCTGCGTTGGGGACAGTTTTGTGATGTGTCTGTCGTTAACTGAGCAAACCAAGTCTCAGGGCAGTATTTACAGCACGGTCTTATTAGCGGAGGAAGAGAGAGGGAGAGAGCACAAAGACGGAAGGGAAGGAGAGGTTAAGAAACGAAGAGGAAAAAGAAAAAACAGGGGAGGACTGAGCAGATCAGGGGGCGTCCCCGCCTCATCTCCGTCACTGGCGATGGTCCTCGTGTCTCTCTCCACGTGGGGCTTGGGGTCCCAGGGCTGGGCCTCATTTCCTTCCCGAGGCCCCGTGTCCCACCCGGCCGGCGATGGGAAGGAATCTGCCGGCACGGCCTCTCCCCGCGGAGCCTGGGAGCGTGCTTCGCACCAGGTGGGGAACTCCCGAGGCCGCTTCTCCACTCGTTTATTGGGACCGCGTGTCGAGGATAGACGTCACGAAGCCGGTGCTGATGGGGACGGTCGGCCGTACTGCCTGCCGTGATCCGTTGGCCGGCGCACCGAGAAGCGACGTTGCGTCACACACCGTCCAGAAAGGTATCGCTCGTGGGCGTCCGGGCAGCGACATTGCTCTCTCCTTTGCTCTCCGCACGGAAGGGACTTCGGGTGCCTGGACACGGCTGCCCTGCCGGCACCTGCTCCCCGCGGCCCCGGAAGCCGCGGCCCCGGCCCGGCGCCTCCTGTGCACACAGTGAGCCTGCGGAAACACAGACGTCCTGCCAGGAGGGCGACAGGTCGCTTTTTCTCAGCAGCGCATTCTCCGGGAGCCTGGAGTTTTATTTACGAGGCATCTGATGCCAGGGAACGTGCACCAGGGCCGGTCCTGTTATTCTTCTTCCCCGGCACCTCGTCCACATTCCTGTGTCCTTCCCCTGCATTCATCTCAGTCTCTGTTTTGGACCCACTGATGCCTCACCAGTGGTGGGATCAGAGGAGGAGAAACTCGTGCAAAGCACGGTGCGGATTTTGTAACTTCCTATCGCTCTGAGTGTTAGAGCATTTGAAGAGCAAGGTCTTGAGGGCAGGGCTCCGGGCAGGGCCCCACCAGCGTGAAGCTTAGGTCAGTGGGAGGCATGGGTCGGATGAGTGCTCGGGTCCCCTGTGCCCGGGGAAGGAGGCCCCAGGAGGACACAGGTCATGCCCGGCAGGCAGGGGGCGCATCCCTGGCAGGTGCCACCGAGCCCCGGGTGCTCTGCAGGAGCTTGACCTCCTTCCGAGGCAGAGGGTTGAGGCAGGGGTTAGCGGGTCTGATGCACCCTCCTCGAGCATCGCGCTGGGGATTGGTGTGTGGAGAGGCAGGGAGGCCCGTCAGCCGCGGCCGTGAAGCCTGGTGTCCGGGACTGGGGCAGCAGCTGCAGAGGGGACACGCAGACACATCCCAGTACCAATCAGGAGGGTGACCGGTCTGCTCATGGGCCGTGGTAGGAGGGGGAGGGGCGTGCGGGGATGTCCAGGCTGGTCTGGGCCCGTTGGGCTTCAGACATCGGTGTGGATCTGGAGAGAAACTGCCGTGGCTGATGTGGTTCTGGATGTGCTGAGACCCAGGCTCAGGTGCATCGCGATGGGAGGAGGGGCTCCGGGTTGTACGTGGAGGAACAGCCGTGGACGTCGTGACGCCCTCAGGTGACCCATCATCCGTGTTTTCATTTTCTGGGAAAAAGACCGTGGAGGGGGCATTTCCTTTCCACATAAACATCGCGGGGCCGCAAAGACCTGTGGACAGGCTGGGCCAGTGTCGGGGGCGGGGAGGGGGGCCACCGGGGCTGGGAAGTCGCGGGGTCACATGTCACAGGAATGAGAAAGGGCTAAGGAAACAAATGGCGTCTCTACCCTAAAGGAGACCGGGGACGGTGTTTAACAAGAGTGATCTCAGTTCGAGCCTATCACGACCCTACAGTGTGTACCATCATCATCCCATTTCGGAATCGAGGAAGTTGAACTCCGTAGAGGTCAAGGAACTTGCCAAATGCCGTACGGCTCGTAAGCAGTACAAACGATTTGCGCTGAACCCGCCAGGGCCGGATGCTGCCCCGTAAGGCTCAGGGCCGACTGAGGTCTGGCTCTTGTCCCCCTACCGCAGTAAAAGTACCAGAACCATCCGCGGTCAAGGCTGAGTCCCGGGAGACGGCAGAGTGGTTTGGGTGTCCTGTCTGACTACAGCTCCCCGGCTTTCTTGAGCCGGCTCCCCACCGGACGCCCACCTTCCTCTTGCCGATGAAGTGGCTCTCGCTGTCACCCACAGAGGGACGTCATGCCAAGGGCCGGTCCTCGGTCCTCATCCTCTCTGACCCAGAGCAGTTTTGGGTGGTCCTTCCCTCCCTGCTCCAGGACACCACCCTCTCTGGTCATCTTCCGTCCACACGGGTCCCCCATAAACATCCCGGGTATTCCCCACAACTCGGCCCGCAGAGCACATCTCCTCTCCCGTCTGCGCTGGCTCCCGGGGCGACCCCGTCTGGTCCTGGGGGTCTAAGTACTGACTGTGTGTCAGCTGCCACACTAGCTCTCCACGCTGGCTTGTGAACCCACTGCCTTCATCCAGCCCTCCTTCTGACCCCTCGGTGCCTCGGCACAGATTCCAAGTTGGACGGCGGCCTTGGCAGGACCTGCTCTTCACCTGCCCTGCCCGGCTCTGCAGATGGCGGGGTGTCCTTTTGTGCACGGCCTTGCCTTTTCCCTGGAGTTAGTTGGCTCTTTCTGTTGGTCTGCTTAGTCCTGTGTGTCCGCCCCTCCCTCTCCCCCAGACTCTCTGCCAGAGCTGCCAAAGTCCTCTCGGGATGGTCACCGTGGGGAGGCGCTAACCCCACTCGCCCCAGGAGTCTCCTGCCTGGAGCCCCAGCCTCCCTCCACCCACACCGGTTTCTCCCGGGGATGCAGAGTTGGGCCTGGGATGCCCTTCGCCCGCATCTGGGGGCTGCCCTTCACACCTGTCTCTGCTTTGTCGGATGGCCTGCTGTCCTGGATCCTGCCGTGTCCCTTTCTTTGCTGGGCAGCACGTGTTGGGGGAGGCAGGTGTATCATTTCCCTGGAAACACGGCGGTGCCTGGAGGCTCACGCGTGGCTTCAGCCTCACCTCTGGCGGGGACCCGGGACCCACACCTTCCCTGGGGTGCCTCCCTCCCCCTGGAAGCTCAGCTCCTCCATCTGCCCAACGTGGTGCTTGAGAGAAGGAAGCGGAAACGTTGTCGAATCAACAAAAGCGAGATTCAAGTGCCCAAGACTGTCGGAGTGAGAATCTGGGTACGGTAAGGCCATCCGGCCGGCCCGTGGCTCTGGTAGCTGGGTGGAGGCAGACTCTAAAAATACAAAAGGCAGCCGAGTAGGGCACAGCCCCGTCTCTGGGCAGCCAGGGGCCTGGGCTCTGCTGTGGGACACCTGTCCTGGAAATCAGGGGGCCAAGAGCTCAATCCAGAATCCTTGCTTTCATCCATTCAACGAACAATCCAGGAATCATCAAGCACCTTGCGTCGGTGATGTTTCAGGGGCTAGTGACACAGTAGTGAGGGAGGCAGGGTGTGAAGAGGCCAGGGACAGCAACACTGAACGTTCTAAATGTGCAAAGTCCTGTTGTGCGTGGATGATGGAGGACCACCGAGTGACCCTGACCCACTGCCCGGGAGGCCTGCTCGCCTCTCCTGAGTTCCGGCTCCCGGCCTCCTCGTCTCCCGCGACCCCTGCTTCCCTTGTCAGGCTGCGGCCACGCTGGCCTCTCTGTTCTTGGCCACACCAGATCGGCCCCCTCTCGGATCTCCGCCTAGGATGCCTGGTCCCTGGATGATGCAGAGCTGGCTTACCTTTGTGCCTGAAGTGTCTGCCCTGCCAACTTGCCTGAAACGGGCTCCCCTCCCTGCCCCCGCCCCCATGGAGCGATGTGTCATTTGCTCACTGCCGTAGACTTGCCGATCGTCTGTCTCCAGAGAGGAGTGTCTGCACTCCCAGAACACCACCCCGCATTGTAGCAGGTGTTCAGCCAACATGGCCAGCGAGGTGCTGAAGGCAGTGGACAGGGAAAGAGCCGTGATCCGTAAACGCCTGTGGAAGGGATTGCTGAGACGTGGCTCCACCCTCCCCACGACCTGTGAGCATCGGTCCCCCAGAGGTCTGGTTCCCAGACCCCGAGCCCTGTCTAGGTGACCGGTGCCCAGACCCCAGCCTCTCTGCTGCTTCAGACTTTGGAATTCTTGTGCAAGTGACGTCCTTGCCTGATTACAGTAGCCGTGACAATAGTTTAAGGGCTTTAACGTATTTAAAATTCATCTGTAGACCTGACCGATTTTCCTGTGGTTCAGAGCTGCTCCCGCATGTGAAATGGTGGCTTTCCCTGCGCTGTCACCGGATTGTGCCATGAGAGAAGCTGAGCCCACCATGCGTGTCGTGACCCGTGCTTTGCCTACGGTCCGAGTGCTTTTCCTGGATGCTTGGGATCTCGCTGTTGTAGATGACAGAGGATCATAGACTGACCCTGACCCTGCGTTCAGTCAGTGGGGCCCCTGCTCCAGTCCCGTGTGCTCCCGCAGTGCACGCGCGTGTCTGTCCATCCGCTTCCTCAGCTCGGATGTGAGGCTCCTTGTAGCCCCCACCCAGTTCCGTGACTGCCGGCCCCTTGTCTGCAGCACCCGCGATGCCCTCACCTGCCACATCCTCACCAGCACCCGCCAGTTGCCACGGTGACTGGATGTCAGGTGCGCGGTTCGTCCCAGCCCAGGGTCCAGACCTTGACCTCAGCACGTCTGCACCTCTGTGCCTCCCTCGAAGCCAGCGCACGTGCCGCCGTGAGAGCCTGCTGCCCTGGACGCTCGGTCCGCAGGACGACAGCCCCCTTCCTCTGACAGCGGGCCCCTGGGCCCCTCTCCAGAGTCACCATGTTCTGTAGGAGACGGTGCCTGCATGAAGGTCGCAGCTTCCCCGCAAGCTCACGGTGGCCCCGAAATGAGCTTCGCTTAAGCTGCTGCTTAGATGTTTTGAGAATTCAACGCTGCCAATTTTAACTGTTAATTTTAACAATCTATTCTGATTGCCCAAATGGCCCAGCTCGCGATAGCCTATGAAAACGAAATCCTGATTCTCTCTCGAAGCCGGAAACCGAGTCATTACCACAAACTTGGCGGTGTTTTCACAGACCGCCTTGGGGTTTTTTGTTATTTTTCATCCTGCCAGTTGGAAACTATCTTTGACTCAACTGGCTCAACGGTGGGGTTATTTATATAATCTCTATACGTTCTCCGGATGGCTGTCTCTTTTGCCCTGTTTTGTTATTTATCGAGGCTCTCATTTCTGCTTTGAAAGGAACGGTTTTCAGCACTCTGAAGATTGCACTGAATTCAAGAACAGTGTAATTAATCCGGGAGTCTATTCGCTGCCCCAGCTCTTGAAGCCCCTCCTGGGGCACTGGCGCCCACGAGGTGCCTGTGGGTGGAGTCGGCAGGAACCTCAGGCTGCTTCATGGTGTCCGACGTGCCGGGAAGCCGGGCTCCCGCCTCCTCCCGAGAGGCTGTTAAGATAACACTGTCTGGATTCCTTGAGATGTTGGGTGGCCCATCCCCATTTACTCCGCCAGCGCCTGGAGATGACGTTGCTCTAGAACCGAGTTCTAGATGCGAATCGCAGTTGAACACGTGGATCCTTCGCTAGTGCTCGAAATTCTGAGGCAGGTGCCTGTAGTGGCGGGAGATCAACCTCTCCAAAGACCCGCTTCCCAGTTCCTTTGGGAATGAACCCAGTGTGAGGGGGCATCCGTGCGGCCACAGCGGGTGGGGACAGGCTTTCCCTCCCGGTGTGGGATTCAGCCTCGGGTTCTCCCCGAACCTCAGTGCTTCCAGCTTTAAAGCGGGAAATGTTGTATTCTCAAACGGCTGATGGTTGTGTCCCTTAGGACTCTTGGTTTTGAGGGACAGAAAACAGAAAGGGAATCTTAGTTGAACACGCAGCCGAGATGGGCTTCAGACGCGGCTGGATCCAGCACGCTCCTGCCTTTGCTCTCCTCTGCACTGGCTTCATTTTCGATGTCCAGCTGGAGGCCACTGGCTGCTGCAGCCTCGCCCCTCATGTTGGCCCGACAGCTGTGGCGCTCCACACTGTCCTTGACTCCAGCTCGGGTCCAGCAGGCCTAGAGTGTCTGTCCCCTCTCCCCCAGCATCCCCAGGCAAGGCGTCTTTGCTGTAACCTGGCTGCACACCTGCCCTTAAACAACCCGTGGAGTCCAGAGCTGTTATGCTCACGGTCCGGGGGCTGTGGCCCCAGAGCACTCAGGACCCTTCCTAGGAGAGGGGTCCGTGAGTGCCGGGCAGGCAGGCGGCAGACATTCGCTGGCATCACGAGGCCAGACCCAGGTCCGGAGGGGACGAGGGACGATCACGTTACGTTTCGGTTTTGCGTGAACTCCCCACTTGGCTCAGGCAGCAGCCGTCCTGGGAAACTGGTTTAGTGAAACTCGTAACATTTCTCATTCTGTGAAGCAGATGGCTTTGCTTCAAGTAATTTGAGGAGGCCGCCCCCGCCATAGGCTGAGCCGCCGGGAGCCTGCCAGATGCCCGGGGCCCCCGTCTCTGCCTGTCCTTGGGGCCCGGGGACATTGTAGCTGACCTTCAGCTACCTGCGGGTCAAGTCTGCATGACGCTGAGGGCAGTGAAGGGCAGTGAAGGGCATCTGGGGAGACGGTGATGCCATCCGAGGTGTCAGGCAGGGTTGTCCTGCTCTCCTGGGTCCGGCCACCTTTTGCGTGTGGCCGCCTGTCAGGACCGGGGCCTTCTCCCTGTGCTCCGTCTGGCCTGTCCCTTCATTGCCAGATCGGTGCACGCTTTCTGGTTTTTACGAAGAGCGTCACGGCCGGCCAGAATTCCTTCCGTCTTTTCCGGAGGGGAGAGAACTCAAAACTGACCTAGCTCCTCACAACTGGGGGGGCTTCTTAGGGGGGAAAAGGCAGTGACTCGTGCCTTGATGATCCAGACATTGATTGGAGGGTCTTTTCTTTCCCCTGCTTTAAGCCTTGACTCTTTTCTCTTTTTGCCGTAAAAAAGGCTCAGGTTGAAGCTAAGAAGAAGCACGAAGGCGCCGTGCAGCTGCTAGAGGTGAGTGCCGCGGTCAGCCGGCTGCCTTCGGGGGTGGGTGGGCTCAGGGACAGGCATGTGCACTCACGCCTCCCAGAAGCGGGTGACGGCTCCAAGCACCCACTGGGAGCTGGTCACTAGCGCTGTGCACCTGTCCCTGCGTGGGGTCTGCACGCACAAGCGGGCTGCAGCCACGTCCCCATGGCCACACCGCCCGCCTCGGAGCCGGGGGCCTCAGATGTGACCTGCTGTCCCCTGCGGGCGCCTCTCGGGTGGCACGTAAGGAGGATGAGGTTGCTCTCTCATGCGGGAGTAAGGAGAGAGAGCAGGTGGGCCACTCCCCTGGGCGCCCTGCCCGCAGGTGAATTGTGCAGGGCACACTTTAGGGGACGGCGCTGATCCTGGGGAAGCGTTTGGCAGGTGGTATCTGGGGAGGCATTTGCAGAGCTAGGAGGGGGACGACGTAGGTGATGAAAGCGGTGACCGGCATCCGAGATGCCGCCTCAGCACCGCCCCCAGTGAACGCAGCGTGGGGGCCTCTCTGCAGCCGGTCCTGCTGGCACCGGGGGGGCTCGGCAGCGAGGTGTGCAAAGTCCCACCCGCGTGGGGTCCTGGGAGGAGTGACCGCACCTCTGTCCCTCGTGTGGAGCCCCACGACTCCCCAGGAGTGGCGGATGGGCGGGTCTGGACGGAATTCAGACTCCCCCCGAGGCCCAGCCACCTGCACGCTCTGTGCGTGATAAATGGGAGTAATGACCACGCCAGGCCTCCCGCCTACGCGGACAGAGGTCAGACAGTTAGCGACCCCCTCGCTGCAGACGCACGGGCGTGGGTGACGTCGGGCCTGCCATCCCCAGGTATGGGACGCGGCTGTCCCCCGAGATGACCTCGTCCTTCACCCACAGGGGACCAGCGACCACGGACAACCGCGTGCACACCTCTTACGTCTCTCACGTTGCCTTTCAACGTCTATTCCTCCCGCAGGGAAAGGTTGCTTCGCTACCATCACGTGTATTAGAATTGATTTTTTGAGAGCGTCCATTAGCTAACGAGTATCTGGAGGGGTGAGTGTGAGAATGGCAGTGGGAGATACACAACCTGAGAGAATGGACACAGACCCCAAGTGGCCATGCTGCTCCCTGACAGATGATCTCCGCCCCTGCCTGAAC